TACATTAGTTGGTGTAGGCCAATCTATAATAGCTTGTATTTTAGATTCATCAACATGAATTCCTTTTGCACTAACAATGAAACCAAGAAACACAACTTCATTTACACAAAATGAACATTTAGGCATGTTAGCAAAAAGTTTCTCTTCTCTCAATGTTTGCAAAACAATTCTCACATGTTCAACATGTTCTTGTAACTTTTTAGAATACACTAAGATATCATCAAAATATACAACAACAAACTTACCAATATAATGCCTCAAAACATGATTCACTAATCTCATGAAAGTACTAGGAGCATTAGTTAATCCAAAAGGCATCACTAACCATTCATACAAACCAAATTTTGTTTTGAAAGCAGTTTTCCATTCATCTCCTTGTCTAACTCTTATTTGATGGTAGCCAGATTTTAAATCCACTTTAGAAAATATAGTAGCACCATAAAGATCTTCAAGCATATCATCTAATCTAGGGATTGGATGTCTATACTTAATAGTTATCTTATTAACAGACAATCTATGCACATACGCCACGTACCATCTTTCTTAGGCACAAGTAAAACAGGAACAGCACAAGGGCTGAGAGATTCTCGAATTTGACCTTTAGCAAGGAGTTCTTTAACTTGCTTTTGTAGTTCCTTGTTTCCTCAGGATTTGCTCTATATGCAGGTCTATTCGGAATGACTGCACCAGGAATTAGATCAATTTGATGTTCTATTCCTCGTATAGGAGGAAGTTCATTAGGCAACTCCTCAGGGAATATATCCTCGTACTCTTGAAGTAGCCTTTGAAACACCTTAGGCAAATTGCTAGGAACTTCGGTTAGTAAAACAGAATTATCACGAAAAAGCATTAAAATCATACATGTTCCTTTTGCAAAACACTTCTCCACCGATTTGGGACTAGCGAAGAAATTGTTGCCCACTGGCTCTCAAATTTGTAGATCATTTGAAGATCTCTTTGGAACGTCCAAAGTAGATTCATCTTTAGGACTCTGCTCTTTCATTCGTTTCTCTCTTTCTCGAATCATTCTCAGATTACATTCTTGAACTTGAGGAGGTGAAAGAGGTTTCAGGGTATAGCTATGACCATTCATCACAAACGAATACTTGTTTGTGTATCCATCATGCTTTACTCTGATCATACCCCCATGGTCGTCCTAAAAGTAGGTGGCTTGCCTCCATAGGTACCACATCACAAAGTACTTCATCATCATATTTTTCAATAGAGAATGGCACATTCACTTGCCTAGTGACTCTAAGATTGCCACAATCATTCAACCATTGCAACCGATAGGGTGTCGGATGCTTGATAGTAGGTAACTTCAGATTATCTACAAGATATGAACTAGCAACATTAGTACACGATCCTGGATCTATAATAGTTAAGCATACCTTGTCCATAACTCGACACTTAGTATGGAAAATATTGTGTCTTTGCTGATCATCTTCAGCTACTTGAGTTTGTAATGCTCGAAGGTTGACAAACACATGTCCAGCCTCAGCATCAATCTCTACAACTTCTTTTTCGATTTTCTCAACAATTCTTGGCATCTCGTCATCTTCTTCATCTGTTTCACTTTCGAAACTTCCATCCTCTTTAAGGATCATAGTCTTTAAAGTTGGACAAGCAGAAGCTATATGTCCTCGTCCCTGACATTTGAAACAAGTAACATCTCTAGTTCTAACTTTGTTCGTATTACTAGATGAAGTAGAATTCTTAACATTAGAAGATGGTTTAGGAATATTAGAAGTATTAGAATTACTAGATGAAGTAGAATTCTTAACCTAAATGACTCTTCTCATTAGCTTGATCAATGATCTTCATGGAGCACACAGAGTCAAACTCTCTTGATACTCTTCAGCACTTATTTCCATGAGGTCTTCATCTCCTTTGGTTTGAACCCCAAAGTTAATGACATTCTCATCACCTTGAACATAGCTCTCTTGAACCAACTCCCTATCACATAGGTAGTCAAGATCCATCCTTTCTTCCTTGATTGGTCTGCAAAGTAAACTTGGCATTCCAAAACTAGAATGAAGGACTAGCTCATTCCCCTCACTAGGAGAACCTCCATGGAAGGCTACATGATTCTCATCATCCCCTCCTTTAAGAGGATTTGTCCTCGAATCATCAACCTCTATACCTACACAAGGAACAAACGAGATGAAGACCTCATGGAAATAAGTGCTGAAGAGTATCAAGAGAGTTTGACTCTGTGTGCTCCATGAAGATCATTGATCAAGCTAGTGAGAAGAGTCATTTAGATTCTTGAATGGACGGCCTATTTGATCAAAGTGTTCAAGATTGAGTCCATTGCTACACAATTGGATAGGTTGCAAACTATCTTAATGGTTTCAAGTGTTTTTCCAATCTTTTGGAGTCAATAAAGAGAATTCTACAAGTTTTGGAGTAAATTGGAGTTTTCTACGACTTAAGGGGTGCAAGACCAATATTCCACTTTTGGAAGAGCGTTCAAGACATTTTACTTCAACAATTTGGAGCTGAATTTCGAGATTAGAGTTAGTCTAAGTCTAGGAGTCAATTTTCAAATTTTTATCTAGTTAAATAAGTCATGTGGACTGAATTAAACTAGAGTGTTTTGATTAGGAGTCTTAGATTCCTTCTAGATATTATCCTACTTGAGGATAAGTCATTTAGATAAGGTTTCCTAGATTTTAGATAGAGTCAAAGAGATCAAGTACTCTTCTACTTTTACTCCTTGGGAGATAAGATTAGAGAGTCCTAATTGGTCTTCTTTTTAGTGGTGCTGGCCGAAAATTCTAAGCCTATAAATAGGAGGCTTGGCCGAATTTCTTAAGCACCCTTGAGTGGTCATTTTTGTTGTCTCTTTTGAGAGTTTTTCCTGTGAGGAATTTTTGTTAAATGGAGTGTCCATTTTTCGTGTCAAGTATGATTAAACCAAGAGCGTTTTCATCTTGTCTTGGATCTTTTTGATCTTGCAGAAACCGTTCTTTTTCAAGTATGCTTCTTGATAGAATTGTTTTAAAACAAAACTTCTTATTTTCATACTACTTCTAGTAGTTCGATTGATGAGCCTTTCCTTTGGCTTGGTGTTCGAATTTCATGATGAGTGTGTTCATGAGATCCATTGTAGGGTTTGTCCTACTTTTGTTGGATGAGTTGTGCTTTGGCATAAGCATTTTGAGATAGTGTATGTGTTGCATATCTTTGGTTGGTTATGAAGATTACTAATCAATAGTATTCCTTCATAGTTGGACATTGTTTGCTCCTACCTTTCTTGAGTCTCTTGATAGATGACTGATCGAAGTATATTGAATGGTGTCCTTGCTATTCTTAGCGTGGGTTGTTGTTTAATTCGAATCTTTCATGGATAATGTGTTCTTTGCTTGGTTTGAGTTAAGAAATAGAATCACTTAGATAAACGATCGTCTTACTGTGAATTTTCCGCACTCTTTTGAGTTTCACGAGATAGGCAAAATTATTTTCGTACTTTCTTGTTGATGGTTGCATTAATGAAATTTGCTTCGTCTACGAGATTGCTATCACTTACGGCTATCAACCCCACCTTACCGGAAGGCAATGAGAGAGCCAGTACTCCTCCTCCGGGGAAAATTACAATTTATGAGAAGTGTTTAGAATACGGGCTACACTTTCCCCTTATGCCCATGTTCAGAATGATAGTGGAAGCCTACGGCCGGCCCCTAGCCCAATACACCCCGAACCTCATAACCATCGTGTTAGCCTTCGTACACGTGTGTAAAAAGACGGGGGTAGAGCCAGACATCTTTTTGTTTAGATGTTTTTACAAACTCGTCCGATGTAGGAAGAGTTTTCCCGGGTGGTTCAGCTTCACCAAAAACCCACACGGGCCTTCCAAAGAATTAGTAGCGAAGAACGAGAGTTCTAAGCAATCGAGGTCGGGCTTCTTTTACGTGGACGTGGACTTTGTTGCCCTTTTTCCATGGACGCTGGACGAGGGAGGAACGACCAGTTTAGATCCGTGGACCAAGAAGGATAAGAAAGATATGGAGGCCCGAAGAGGGGACTTAGAGAAACTGGTCGGGTGGAAGAAGACCTACACCTATAGGCAAATCGCGTCGTTGAGCGATACGATCAGCTCCCGTAACCGAGGTATTTTACCCGAAGACTAACTTTGGTTATTTTTTTTGTTGATAGGTATATTTGCTAATCTGATGGGTAAACGCTCGGCTTTTGATGATTCAAATGAGGAGGAGCAGTATCCCGAGGAGAGGCTGCTAGGAACTCCCCAACCGAAAATGGGACAAGCGCCCTCCAATCAGATGACGAGGGTTCACGCAGAAAGTTCGAGGAAGAGGAACCCCTCAGGCCAAACCTCGGGCCATCAAAAAAGAAAACGGGGGGATCCTGAGGTGGTGGAGGTCGATCCTTTGTCCTTCAGTCTGCCCGCGATTCACGAGCTATCCTCCATCGATGAACTTTTGAAGGAGGGGTACGAGGATCAAGGGCAAGGGGCGGGCCAATTTGAGGGCGTACCCAAGGGTCACGCTCTGATGACGTTCGACCCTCTACGGGTCGAATGCGCGGACCTTCCCGCTACCGGGGTACCACGACTGGAGGACGGCATGAGACAGGTAAATTTTTCTTCTCTAGTATTTACTCCTCGTATTCGGAGGGTTTCCTTGCTGATCAAGAATATCCTTGTCATGCAGGCCGTGCAAACGGTGAACTCTTTAGTGGCCATGTGCACGGACTTGGAGGGATAGCTGTCTTCGGCCAGGAGGAAGGTGGCCACCGAGACTTGCAGAGCTAGGGAGGCTGAGGCCAGGCTTCAGGCCTTGGAAGAGGACAAGAGGCGACTGGAGGAGGATATCTCCAGAATGAGGGGGCAGCTTGAGGGCATGGAACTGACCCACAGTCTCTAAATGGAGAGCCTCCTAGCGACGAGCGTCCCCAAATCCCGCCTAGACGTGTACATTCTCGCGGGAGTACAGAGGTACTTGGGGTCGTCCGAGTTCGCCCTCGGGATAAACGACGTCATGGACTCGGCCATGGAAAGAGGGGCGAGGAAGGTCGTCATGGAGATAGAGGCGGCCTGGAGGAAGAACGAGGACATCAAACCCATACCGATAAGTACGCTGATAGGGAGATGAAGGGAAAGACGTCCGCGGTAAGGCTGCGGTGCAAGGCACGGAAGCACTTTCAGGACATGAACTTCGCACAGCTCCCCATCATGCAGCAGATCGCCGAGACTTACCCCTTCGTTTCTAAGCCCGAAGACATCCTGAATATTCCGAGCAGTCCTTCCTTCGTCTTTCAGATGCCTAGGGGGACTCAAACGCCTCCGAGGATGCCGCCGGGGCCCGACGAGGAGCCGGATACAGTCGGACATGCACCACCCCCCCAAGGGCACAACTCCGGAAGCCGCAGAGGGGGAGGCACTTCGACCAACTCCAACACCAACGGGGGAGACAAGGTGAATGATGCGTAGGGTTAGGACTTACCATAGCGATCACCTGTATGTTCCCCGTTGTAACATGTTTTCTTACCCGAATATCAATGGATTTCAATTTTATTTACGATCGACTATACTTGTTTGCTAATAATGTTTGTTAATAACTTCATGTCTTTGTTCGTCGGCTCAATTTCAATTTTACTTCTAAGGATTCTTCCTAACCCGCGCTCCCTAACCTTCCCGTCAACACGCGCTTCCTTTCAGGGGAAGGACGTAGCTTCGGACTTGCCCCATCAGCCCGAAGGAACCTCTCGAGGCGTGCCCGTGACTCCAGGTCATTGGGAAACGTCCGGAATTCCCTGGATCAACCTGCAGTTGCCCGACCCTCATTACGATCCGACAACCTTTCCCCTGTATGCGGCAGTCGGAGGCGCTTTGGTAGATCCGGCCGTCGACAGGAGCCGAGGACGGCTGTTGGGTCTCGAGAGTCAGTTGGACGAGGCCTTGGAAACATACAGGGATTGGAGCTACACGAGGCACGCAGGGCCGTAATAGAGGCGAAGGCCGAAAACGACCGGCTAGATAAGTTATGGAGGGAAACGGAGGCTTACTGGGAAGACCATTTGAAGAACTCTATACAGTTGGAGATATTGGCCGAGAATCGCCTCCGGACATTCGAGGCCAAAATCCGAAAGAAAAAGGACGAAGGCTTATCCGAACCAGACCCAGAGGATTTTATTCCCCGCAATTATTTCGAGAGCGTCTTGGTACATCTCCGAAAGGTCTATGCCTTGGTCGCCGTTAAGTGGGACCGGTCTTCCGACAAGATTGAGGCTCTTCGGGCGTATGCTGGTCAACTTCAGGCGGCTTTGGAAAGCGCGATATCTTTTATTGTAGAGATGGGGAAGGAGTACGATTTTGAGGCATTGTGGCCTGAGCCCTGTCCGGCCATGCGAGATGACCCCACTTCTCCAACTCGCGAAGCCGAACGCATGATATATGAGAACGACGCTCTATTTCACGAGTTAGGTCGAGGGTCTTACTAGGGACTCATGTAATTAGGTTGTTAGGTAATTTTTGGTGTGTTTTTGCCAAGTGTATACATCCGAGGGCCATACCTTCGAAAATTCACACATATATAATTGATTCTTGTTTTTGAACATTGACTTTTTTGCTTTTCCCCATTTATTTGTTTTATTATTATTCAAGCTTTTACAGTTGTGTATGTAAAATTCTGTGTATCGCCGACGCTCTTTGCTACGATCCGACGGAGGTAATATGAGTATCTTCCCCCGGATTTTACATTTGAACTGTATTACTAATGTTGCGATAATTTAGTCTGTGGTTAGTTGAAATCGTACCTGGTCAAGGGCCGTGGGAACCATAGGAATTCCGTGACCGCGGGATCTGCTAGGTGCCATCGACCACTGGGGTCCAGACGGCTTTGTAAGTGCCCCCAGGTCACGGAGACCGTAGGGGTTCCGTAGGCCGCGGAGGCCACACGGTGCCGTCGGCCACTAGGGTCCAGACGGCTTTGTAAATGCCCCAAGGTCACGGAGAGCGTAGGGGTTTCGTAGGCCACGGAAGCCACAAGGTGCCGTCGGCCACTGAGGTCGAGGCGGCTTTGTAAATGCCCCAAGGTCACGGAGACCGTAGGGGTTTCGTAGGCCGCGGAGACCACATGGTGCCGTCGGCCACTGGGGTCGAGACGGCTTCAGGAAGGATGGGATTCTTACGAAGGCACGGGAAGTAGTATATTGACAACAAAAGTGCCGGAGTTCTCCTGCTTGGCTTTGTCTATTACAAAAGTGGGCAGAAGCCTTCAGATATTGAACTTCCTAAGGTTCTGGATGTTCAACCATCGGGGAATGTCGCGAGGCTCATCGTCACATGTGCGCAGGCGATAACTCCCTGAGGGAGAAACTTCCACAACCTTGTACTGTCCTTCCCAATTCGGAGCTAGCTTTCCGGTCGCTTCTGCGTGGCTCGCCTCGTTTCATCGGAGGACCAGGTCTCCGACTTCAAAGTTCCGAGCCCGGACCTTGGCATTATAGTACTTGGCCATGAGTTGCTTGTATTTAGCTTCACGGGCTTTGGCCAGATCTCGCCTTTCATCCAGGAAATCAAGGCAAAGACGGATTTCATCTTCGTTCATTTCCTCCGCGAAGTTGACCACCCGGGGACTAGGGACCTCTATTTCTGCTAGGAGAACGGCTTCTATGCCATAGACGAGGCTAAAAGGGGTTGCCCCCGTGGCCATTCTCATGGTAGTGCGAATGGCCCAGAGGACGTGGGCCAACTCCTCAGGCCACAGCCCCTCAGCTCTCTTGAGCCGTGTCTTCATACCCTGCAAGATGGCCTTATTTATATTTTCAGCCAACCCATTGGCTTGAGGATAGGCCGCGGATGAGAACCGCTGTTCGATCCCAAGCTGCTCACACCAAGATTTAAAAACTCCCGATTCAAACTGTGTTCCGTTGTCTGATATACGGACCTTCGGAATCCCGAACCGGCAGACAATATTCTTCCAGAAGAATTTGGCCACGTTTGCCCCTGTGGTGGAGGCCAGAGGTTCCGCTTCGACCCATTTAGAAAAGTAGACAATTGCGACGATCACGAATTTGAGCTTACCCGGGGCCAATGTGAAAGGCCCTATTATGTCCGTTCCCCACTTGTAGAAAGGCTACGGGCTGCCAATTGGGACCATCTCATGCTGGGGAAGTTGCGGGATAGGGGCGTGCTTTTGGCATTGCACGCACCGAAGGACAATGTTATAGCAATCCTGGGACAAAGTAGGCCAGTAATATCCGGCGCGGATCAGCTTTTTGGCCAGGTTACGTGAACCTAAATGAGCCCCACAAGCGCCTTTGTGCATGCTCCTGATCAACGTCTCCGCGTTCCGCTTCCCGCGGCCCGACACAGCGCAGCAAGGGAGTTAGATACCCTCGCTTGTAGAGGATGCCATCCTTTATCAGGTACTTCGTCGCCTTGAGTCGAATCTTCTGAGCCTCCCTTGGGTCCGGGGGTAATACCCCATTTTGGAGGTACTGGACAAAGGGCGTCATCCAAGATGCCTCGTCCATTGTCACAGGCAAGACCTCTTCGTCCAGAATACTCGGACACGATCTGACTTCCATGTGAATTTGCTGGGTAAGATGCACAGCGCGGGAAGAAGCTAACTTGCTCAGGGCATCGGCCCTCTTGTTCTGTGACCCCGGGATATACTGAATGTGGAAAACACGAGAGTCACGTTCCAACACCCTGACCTTCCGAAGATACTTTTGGAGAACCACCTCTCGAACCTCATACAGCTTAAGGACATGGTTGACAACCACCAGAGAATCGCTGCAAACTGAGATTTCCTGAACATCGAGTGCGCGGGCGATAGATAGCCCCACAATCAGTGCTTCATATTCAGCCTCATTATTTGTGGTAGGAAAATCCAGCTGGATAGCATAAACAATTTCCGACCCGTGGGGATCGATCAAAACCACGCCCGCGCCCGAACCCTCTTTAGAGGAAGATCCGTCGATGAACAAAGCCCACGTTTGCGGTCCGGTGGGGGAAGATCTCTCAGGGACTTGACAACATTCATCAGCCTCGGCTTCCATCCTCCGGGGGACTTCGACAAGGAGATCGGCCAAGGCTTGACCCTTGATCGAGGTCCGGGGTCGAAATTCTATGTCATGCTCCCCGAGTTCCACAGCCCACTTAGTCATCCTGCCCGACATGTCGGATCCTCGGAGGATCTGCAGCAGGGGCTGATCCGTGAAAACAAGGATCGGGTGCGCCTGAAAATATGGGCGTAACTTCCGGGTCGCGGTCACGAGGCAAAAAATCAATTTTTCAGCAGTGGTGTACCGAGACTCGGCGGGAAGGAGGACCTTACTAACATAATAAACAGGGATCTGCTTTCCTTTATGTTCTCGAACCAAGGCTGCACTCACCGTGGACTCCCCCACTACTAAGTACAAAATCAGAGTTTTCCCCGGGTCCGGTGTGCTCAGGATCGGGAGAGTTCTCAAGTGGTCTTTTAGCTCCATGAAAGCTTTCTGACAAACCTCGGTCCAACCGAAGGTATCGGACTTCTTGAGAACCTGAAAAAACGGCAAGCTCCGTTCGGCCACCTTCGACAGAAAGCGTCCAGGGCGGCAATGGAGCCTGTAAGCGTTTGTACTTCTTTAATGGACCGCGGAGGCTGCATTTCCAGGATGGCTTGAATCTTTGAAGGGTCCACATCGATCCCTCTCCGAGAAATCTGGTAACCCAAAAATTTCCCTGATCCGACGCAGAACACACATTTTTTCGGGTTCAACTTCATATTAGCGGCTCTGAGGGTCCGGAAGGTCTCCTGGAGGTCATTCACTACAAGGTCAATCCGACGACTTTTCACCACCATGTCATCCACGTAGACCTCTATATTCCTTCCCAGCTGGTCCCTGAAGATGCGATTGGCCACACATTGGTATGTGGCACCCGCGTTCTTTAGACCAAAGGGCATTTTCACATAGCAGAACACCCCTTTCAGTGACGAAGGCTGTCTTTTCTGCATCACCCTCGTGCATCAGGATCTGGTGGTATCCTTTATATGCGTCCAGAAAGCTAAGCACCGGGTATCCCGAGATAGCATCGACCTTCTGCTCGATTGCCGGAAGAGGATATCAATCCTTAGGACAGTGTTTATTGAGGTCCTTATAAACCACACACATACGCCAAGAAGAGTCGGGCTTCTTGACCATGACCGGATTGGCCAACCACGTGGGATAGAAGATCTCCTTGAGGATGGAAGTGGCCAACAGCTTAGTAACTTCCACATCGATAGCGGCATTATGCTCGGGAGCCACCTTCCTCCTCCTCTGCTGTATGGGCCGCGCACTAGTGTCTACATTCATTTTATGCACGCCCAATTCGGGAGGAATCCCTGTCATGTTGTTGGGACTCCAAGCGAAGACGTCTTCAAACTGCCTCAACAATTCAACCACCATGTCCCGAAGACTGGGGGGGAAAAACAGCTGCTAAGCTGACGACCCTTCCTTCTACAAAAGGATTTAGAGCCACATCCGTAACCTCATCATCCACGAGACCGGAGCCTTCGCTTCCTTGGTCCTCGTCTTCAAAGATCGGGGCTTCCTGGACGGACCCGACGGTTGCCCCTCCTCGAAGAAAGTCACGCCCCTTCTTTGCGGCGACCATCATGTACTGTCGCGCCAATTATTGATCACCCCGAACTTCCGCAATCCCAGCCTCGGTCGGAAACTTCATGACCAAATGATATGGCGAGTATATGGCCTTTGCCTGACTCATCCAGGGCCGCCCCAGAATGATATTGAAAGGGGCCACGAAGTCCACCACCGCAAAGTCAACAAGAATGACCCGATCCTTGGGATAAGTCCCTACGGTAACAGCCAAGCTGATTATGCCTAGCGGCATTAGCACGTGGTTAGAGAAGCCGACCAAGGGTATGGACACAGGGCGGAGCTGAGTCTTGTCGAGACCCAATTTTTGGAAACAATCACCATACATGACATCCACTGCGCTGCCATTATCAACGAATACGCGCCGAACTTCCCGATTGGCGACTATGGTCGTGATGACCAATGTGTCGGAATAATCTTCGGACCCACCCACCAAATCCTGCTCTGAGAAGGATATCACCTCCCCGGGACGGAGGCGTTTAGCCTCGGACTCATCCGGCGGTCGGGGGCACGAACTCCTGCGGAGAGCAGAAACACTCTGGACCCCTAAGGGCGCCCCATAGATAGCACCCACGGGAGCGGCCAAAATATGCCGTGCCTGTGTCGGATCGACACCGTCCTGAGCTTTGGCCCCGTCCTTGATGGGGACTTGATTGGCGGCCTTAGCCTTGTTTTTCTTCCACCTCCGGTTCTTGGGTTGGCCTGGCGCTTTTTCTTGGGATCCCTTCTGGATACAATCTTGAAACTTACCCGCCTTAAGACCCTCTTCAATCTCCTTCTTCAACCTGTAGCAATCCTCGGTATCATGCCCCTTGCTTCGGTGAAAGTCACACCATTCGGATGTGGATTCA